TGTAGCCCAGGCTGGCTTTGAACTCCAGATTATCCTGCCTCATCCCGCTCCAACTGGTATTATCACGGGTTTACCCAGCCAGGCTTATGATTTCTTTTGACTAAAAGTGTGCAAATTTGCCTTCACCCCTTATATCTTGCCTTGTGCATTGCTGTAGGTCACTTCATAACTGTTGTTTGAGAGAGGGTCTTACTATGTAGCCAAGACTGGCCGTGAACTTACTTTGTAGCTCAGGTTGGTTTCCAACTCACACTAATCCTCCTGCCTCAGCCTCCCCAGTGCTGGATTACAGTGGTACACCACCACAGAGGGCTTTGTCATGTCATATATTGTTTATTTATTTTTTTTGATACATTATTTATTTTTGACTTTTTTGGTACTCGGAATTGAACTCAGTTCCTTGTGCTTGCAGGCAGGAGCTTGTGCCACATCCCCAGCCCTTGTCCTACATTATTTAAAAGCTCATATTTTTCTTGCAATCAAAGCCATCTCCTCAGAGCTCAGTGACGGCTCCCCTGTCAGTCCTCTGAACTCCTCCTGATGCTGATGCAGGTGAAGCGGAAAGCAAGGGCACCTTAGATTTAACTGCACTAAATGAGAGAACGTTTTCATCTTGTTTTTCTCCTGAGGGTGCGACCCAGTGCCTCAAATGGAGATTTACACTTGGCCATTTTTATTCTATTTTCTATCTTGAGACAAGTATCACTAAGGTGTCTATCCTGCGTTACAAGTGGGAAGCCTCCTGTCTCAGCTTTCCAAACTCCTTGGATTACAGGAGTGCATCACCAAGGCAGTTAATTAATTATCTATAATTAATTATCTAAAAAAGTTATTTATGTAGTTGACCCAGAATCTCCCTACACATTGCAGGCTTGCCTTGAATTCACTACGTACCCCTGGTTGCCTTAGAACTCCTGCTCATCTTCCCCAGTGCTGCAATTAAAGATCTTCCCACTGCTTCAGGTTTCTCTCTTAGTACTTTATTTTAACTATTTATTTGTTTATTTTTGTGTGTACTTTGGTCTACACTATGTATTCCAGGCTGGTCTTGAATTCCCTGTGTAGCCTGGGCTGTCCTTGATCCTCCTGCCTCATCCTCATGATTGCCGTGACTGCAGGGCTGTGCCACTACAGCTGTCTCTAATAGTATTTCAGTAGGGGCTGGGGATTTAGCTCAGTGGCACAGCACTTGCCTGGCAAGTGCAAGGTCATGAGTTCTATTCCTGGTACAGGAAAAAAAAAAGTATTTCAATAAGAGCCCTGGGAAATACGTTCCGTAGTGAAGCTCTTGACTAGAGTGCAAGGGGCTCAATATTTGAACTTATCAAAACAAATAAATTTGTACTTTGCTTTGGTGAGGAGGACAGAGCGAGGGTGCTGTATAACAGAGGTATCACCCCAGCACCACTATATTTGCTCTTCTCTTTTGAAATAGGGCCTCCTAGCACTTGGGCTGACTTTGAACTCTCCATCCTTTGTCAGTCCCTCAAGGACTGGCAGTAGAATCTTGCACCATCTCATCCAGCTAGAAGCGTCTTTCTTTCTTTCTCTCTCTCTCTCTCTCTCTCTCTCTCTCTCTCTCTCTCTCTCTCTCTCTGTGTGTGTGTGTGTGTGTGTGTGTTTTAGTCCCTCCTCCCACCTCCCCCCGCCACTTTCCTTTATCCAGGCTGAATTACATCACAAGTTCTTCAAGGCAAGCTTTTGCTAAGTCACTAAATTACAAAGTTTGGGCTTGAATTTGCAGTTTGGCATTCTCCTGCCCCAGC